CTTTCGAGAATTTCGAACGTGCAACATCCTTTTAAACTGATTCCATTTTTCTGTCAACACACGGACACCCTTTCAACTCTGTGCTGCTCTGTGTTTCAAGAATTCTCAAGACACGTGTCGCAGTACCGTGTGTGTTCTAACTTCAACTGCGCGTCTGTTGGCTCACATCATTACAATTCTGTGCTGCTCTGTACTGCCCTCGATGCTCCCGCGAGTCCTTCCCTCTGTGACTCGTTATTGTGTTCTGCGATGTGATGTGATGTGATGTAATATGATGTGATAATGCGATGTGATGTGATGTGATGTGATGTGATGTGATGTGATGTGATGTGATGTGATGTGATGTAACGTGATGTGATGTGATGTGATGTCTTGTGATGTGCTGTGCCGTGCCGTGCTGTGCTGTGCTATGCTGTGCTGTTCCATGCTGGTGCTGTGTATGTTCTAGGCTGTCTCTCTCTTCCCCACCTCCCACGTCCCCACCTCCCACTCCCCCACCTCTCAAGGCCCCGCCACATGTGGGAGCTGCCCTGCAGGAGCCACGTGTACTGTTGCTTTCGGCTACATTCCATACTGCATCTGCCCTCCCGGCTACGGCATGACCAGCACTGGCTGCATCAGCGGTAAGCCCCAAGGCTTTTCACTGTGTACTAGAGGTGAGCTTTGAGGCGCCTCAAAACTCATTTTGGTGAGATTTGAGTTGACTAAAAAATCACATATAGGTGAGTTTTAAGCCTCAATACTCATCTCGGCTATGGCATGACCACCACTGCCTAATCAGCAGTAAGCTCCAGGGCTTTTAACTGTGTACTAGAGGTGAGTTTTGAGGCGCCTCAAAACTCATCCCGGCTATGGCATGACCAGCGCTGCCTGCATCAGCGGTAAGCCCAACACCGTCTGCGCGTTCTAGGCATGGCGATTGTTGCTTGCAGTGTATGTAACACTGAGGCTGCGCACGCTCTCACTTCATTGTTTTCCCCGCGAACTCCCTTTCCCATCTGTTGAACCCCCTTGTGTTATGCTTCCATTAGCAACAACTCTCCCCCCCTCTATCTTCTGCTTGTGCTATCGTTGCCTCTTCCCTATATTTTCTTCCACCACACCTTCTGCGTTCCACCCTCCTCTCCTTTCGTCCCCCCCACCTTCTATGACTCCCCGCCAACCCTTCTCCCTCCCACCTTACCTTTCTTTCATTCTCATCTCCCCAGCCTTCTATGACCCCATTGTTAGTGTTGGACCTCAATCTCAACTTCTGTACTTGTACATCATTTATATCGCCGATCACCTTGGGATTGCCCCCCATTCCCTCTCCATCCATCCCTTGCCCATTTCCAGTGTACTTCAGGGCCTTGAGCTCATTACCCAATGTATCAGTTCAAGCTCAACTTCTTGCACCCATACCATGCCATGCTGTCCCATGCTGCTCTGCTTATCCTTGCTCTTGCCCATACAGGCGCCACCACCACCGTCTCCTCCACCAGCATCACCTTGTACGATCAGCCCAGCTACACCATCTAGCCCACCACCTTCACCACACGCCTTGACTTCAACGCCTGCACCACCCTCCCTGCCTTGGTGGCTTTGAAAGTCTGGTCGACTTGGCGGCTAGACGGGGCTCCTGGAGGGTTGGGGGAGTGTGTGAGTTTGAACCAGTACGAGCAGGAGGGGTGCGCTGGAACGTACAGGTCGTATCCTAGTGCATCGGACAGAAGTAGCATGACCGGGTTGGGTTTTACGTGAGTCTCAGATCGCAAGCAATGCGCGATGTTACATGCACGCATGAGACATGCCACATGCGCACACAGGACTTGCACATGTCGTGACATGCACACACACACACATACATGTAGCACGACACATGGCCGTGAAGTGCAGGGAATGCATGCACGACACCCACCCATGTGTGCCATGCATCCCCCACCCCTGTTTTCTCTTCTCCCTGTATGCGTACGGACGCGCAACAGCAAGTATCTTGGGTATCCTTACCGCTCTTTCACCTGCAATGGTATCGGTGAGTGCTGCTGTGTTGGTGAGAAAGCAACAATGCATTCCATGATTCATGTAATCTATGGGGCAGAATATTAATGCTGCTGTGCATGTGAGTGCTGCTGCTGAGGTGGTGAGAGGTGGTCAGTGCTGCTGATTTGGTGAGTGCTGCAATGTTGATGGGTGCCACTGAGCTTCATTGTTCGCCCGTAGCTGGTGTCTCAACCTACAGGTAGAAATTTAGAGTCATTATTCTTTTCCATACTTGATTAAAAACATAACAGTACAGTTTCCTTCCGCCCTAAATTTGCCGGTATTTTGATGCCCACATTTCTGCATTGCATGTACTGCAAATGCAAATGGCAGTTCATAAGCCTTCCCCGCTGCTTGCATTGTGTCGTCATACTAGACTCCCCTTCACTTCCCTTCACACGCCGTCCCCTCACCTACAGACCGATGCGCCAGCAAGATTTGCAGCGAGAACACCACGTGCTTTCTGGATAGTGCAGGAGCAGCGGTCTGTGTTTGCAAACCCGGTTTTCTTCCGCAGCCTAATGGCGTGAGATGTGCTGGTACGTTCCAATGTCTGTTAATGTCTGCGGCTGTGTTCTACCTTGTGTTTGGGAGGGTACATACGCAGTTATCTCGGATGGGCAAAGCAAAGGTGAATCACTTGCCCACAATACAAGCTGGTGAGCCAGCGCATTCACACCTTACTAAGACAGAAACTGTAGCACTTTCACGACATTTTTGTCCCTCTCAATCTTTCTCTCTTCCATTACCCCTCTTCCTCTTTCCATTGCTCTCCCTTCCCCTCTCAATTAATATTCTCTCTAACTTTTTTTTTTCATGCCACTCCCCTTCCAATCTCCCCCCGCAGAGGCGTGTGGGACCAAGATCTGCGATCCCACAACTGATTGCGTGAGGGACGCTGCAGGCGGTGCAACCTGTGTGTGCAAGCCGGGCTATCAGAACAGTACCAGCACCAAGTGCATTGGTATGTGTGGGCGGTGTTGCAACCCTTGAAATTAAAAGTAACTCGATACTTTATTCTGTGCTGTCACGTTCATTCTGTGCTGTGACATTCATTTTGTGCTGTGCTATACCTGACTGTCTGTGCTGTGGGCTCCGGTGGGGAATGTTGTGCCGTGTTATGCTGCTGGGTCGTGCTGTGCGGTGAATCCCCTCCCACGGCCCCACCTCCCCACGTCCGCACCTCCCCATGGCCCCAACCCCCCAGGCCCCGCCACATGTGGGAGCTGCCCTGCAGGAGCCACGTGTACTGTTACTTTCGGCTACATGCCATACTGCATCTGCCCTGCCGGCTATAGCCTCACCAGCACCGGCTGCATCAGCGGTAAGCTCAACAACACTTATTGCAACCCTCCTCACTCCTTTCCCTGCCAAGCCAACCCCTCAATCTTCTCTCATACCCACTTGTGTTAACTTTCCCCTAGAAACACTGTTTATACCCCTGCCATCTTGACTGTCCCTTCTTCCATCATGCCATGCCGCTCTTCTTGCCCATACAGGCACCACCCCCACCGTCTCCTCCACCAGCATCACCTTCTACTATCAGCCCAACTACACCATCACGCCCACCACCTTCACCATGCGCCTTGAATTCAACGCCTGCACCACCCTCCCTGCCTTGGTTGCCTCGAGAGTGCGATCGTATCTGCGCTTGGACGGGGTTCCGGGAGGGGTGGGGGAGTGTGTGGCTCTCAACCAGTACAGCCAGGAGGGGTGTGCTGGAGCGTACACTTCGTATAACGGCACGTCAACACTGCCCGGAATGGGTGCCATTGGTTACGTGTGAGTGACGGCAGCTGGAGTGTCGGCACCTGGAAAGTCCTCCCTCTCATCCCTCTCATGGTTTTTGAGTCGATTCAAAAGTTATGTGTGAGTTACGGTAGCTGAAAGGAACCCCACGCCATCGTGACTCGGGTTGAGACCTACATGCTTCGTGCAACAGATCTTGATTAGTTTCATTCTTGCATGCGTGACAGACGGAGCACATCACATGCTTGTGTACCAGAGTACATTACATGTTCGTATGACAGAGCACATCACATGCTCGTATGACATGGCACATGTGTGATGCATGCCTGACAGAGTACATGTCACATCGTTCATGTGGCATCACGCATAGATCCATGCATGGGACGGCAGCACCCGCTCTGCTCCACACCCATGTAGATGCCGTATGACACATTGACACCTGCACCTGAACCTGCACCCACATGGTTCACGCCCAATGCGCCTGTGCAAACGCCTGTTGTATATGACATTGGAATCGACTGTATCCTTCACTCCCCCTCTCTCCCTTGCATGCCATGTCCGTCTGCTGATTAATATGTGTGCTCACCATAGCCCAGCATCTCACTCACTCCATTTGCTCCGCTCCCCCCCTCCCCCGTTGTTATGTGCACTGCATTTCTCTTACCCCGTTCTTTCTGTTCTCGCTGAATGCATGCACTGATGAACATTAACTTAACCACGTATCCTTTCCGTTCCTTCAGCTGCTTGGTATCAGTGAGTGCTTTGGTAGGGTTTTCTCTGTTGGTGGGTGGTGTTGATGGGTGTTTGCTCTGTTTCACATGTTTCACCTATTTATTTTCAATAAAAAAGCACCTGAAATGCACGTTTACACCTGCAACAGCCGTGACAGTGTATTGTCAACCTTTTCATCCCCGCCGCTCTAGTCCTCATATGCTGGAGCAGCAGTGACAGTGTACTGCCATCCATTGTATGCCCACGCACAGCGGACAAAGCAATGCAGTGACTCAGAGCACACCGCACTAGCCTTCTGATCCAGATGACAAAAGGTTTTGAGACGTTTGATTCAGAGTGCACTGCACTTTTATCACAGAGCACACCGCATTAGCCTATTTCTGAGGCGCCTAAAAAATCGGATAAAAACATCACTTTAATCACAGAGCACACCGCACTAGCCTTCTGATTCAGAGTGCAGCACACGTCTCGCAACCTTCCAGCATACGCTTTCCCTCCCTATGCTCACGAGCTGTCTGCATGCTCATACCAGAGTTCCCTTCACACTGCGCCCTCCCCTCACTCACAGACCGGTGTGCGAACAAGATCTGCAGGGGCATCGGCACGTGCGTTCAGGACAGTGCTGGAGTGCCCAGTTGTGTCTGCAACACTGGCTTTCTTCTGCAGCCCGACGGCATGACTTGCGCTGGTATGTGTTGCAGTGCATCTGAGCTGCTGCATGCTGCTATCTGTCATTAAGAGGTATACATAAGTGGTCAACTCGACTGTGTCTGTACTCGGTTACCTTGCTTTGACACGAATTGTTATTCTGTTTCTTCCAATTTAATTTCCCAAAACCCAACCAAGGCAATTCGAGTAAGACATTCTGAGAAAGGAAAAACCCAACTGTTGCTAGACTTTTCTGTGTTTGAGTCGTTCCTCACTCGTCGAGGTTTTATGACTCCTGTGTGCTCATCCTTTTCCGTCTCTTCCCCACCCTCAGTGTCTATCTCGTTCTTTCTCTCTTCCATGCGCTCTCTCGTCCCTCTTCTGCCCCTAAACCTTGTGTCCACTTCACTCCCTTTCATTCTCCTCCCTCATATGCGTGTGGATCCAAAATCTGTGATCTCACAACTGAATGTGTGAGGGACGCTGCAGGCGGTGCATCGTGTGTGTGCAAGGCGGGCTATCAGAACAGTACCAGCAACAAGTGCATTGGTATGTGTGTGCGGTGCTGTCAACCTGAAGGGAACTTGATACTTTCATCGTGTGTGTGTGTATTGGTACGTGTGTGCGGTTCATCTAGATAGGTGAAGGTAAATTTATACTTTTAACTTTTATTTACATGAGGAGGCTCATCCTGCTTCACTGTTATATCATAGTTTATGTTGTTTTCCTTGTTATTGCATCGTGTGTGGTGCTGTGTTGTGCTGTTCTGTGCTGTGCTGTGCTGTTCTGTGCGGTGCTGTGCTGAGCTAAGCGATGCTGTGCGATGCTGCACTGTGATGGCAATCTCCTCCCACGTCCCCACCTCCCCACGGCCCCACCCCCCCAGGCCCCGCCACATGTGGGAGCTGCCCTGCAGGAGCCACGCGCACTGTTGCTTTCGGCTACATTCCATACTGCATCTGCCCTCCCGGCTACGGCATGACCAGCACTGGCTGCATCAGCGGTAAGCTCAACTCTGCGTGTACCCCCTACCTCGAATTGACTTTTGAATCGACTCAAAAGTTACCTCCTCACTCATTTCCCTGCCAACCCCCCTCCCTCCCATCTGCTCTACACACTTTTCACTAGCAACAGCATTACGCTATCCCGCTTGTTACACGTTTGTTATTGTCTCCTTTGTAACTCCTATCCCGCTTGCTACCCATATGATGTACACACACTTTCCACTAGCAACAGCATTACGCCCCAAACCTTCTTCCACCACCAGCAAGTGTTATAGTATCGTCCCTTCTGTCCCTTCTTCCATCATGCCATGCCGCTCTTCTTGCCCATACAGGCGCCACCCCCACCGGGGGAGGGCTGGGGGAGTGTGGCTCTCAACCAGTACAGCCAGAAGGGGTGTGCTGGAGCGTTCACTTCGTATAACGGCACTTCAATAGCCACTGGAATGGGTGCCATCGGTTACGTGTGAGTGACAACAGCAAACTCATGCCCCTCTTGAGTTGGAATACGACGGGCATGCTTCGTGCAGCAGTTGGTTTTGGATTTTGTTTCATGCATGCATGAAAGACACAGAACATCGCATGTTCATGTGACAGAGCACACGCAAAATGCATGCGTGACAGAGCACCCGCGGGATGCATGTGTGAGAGAGCACATGTGGGATGCATGTGTGACAGAGCACATGTGGGATGCATGTGTGATAGAGCACATGCGGGATGCATGTGTGACAGAGCACATGCGGGATGCATGTGTGACCGAGCACATGCGGGATGCATGTGTGACCGAGCACATGGGGGATGCATGTGTGACCGAGCACATGTCGGATGCATCTGTGACAGAGCACATGCGGGATGCATGTGTGACAGAGCACATGCGGGATGCATGTGTGACAGAGCACATGCGGGATGCATGTGTGACAGAGCACATGCGGGATGCATGTGTGATAGAGCACATGCGGGATGCATGTGTGACAGAGCACATGCGGGATGCATGTGTGACCGAGCACATGCGGGATGCATGTGTGACCGAGCACATGTCGGATGCATCTGTGACAGAGCACATGCGGGATGCATGTGTGACAGAGCACATGCGGGATGCATGTGTGACAGAGCACATGCGGGATGCATGTGTGACAGAGCACATGCGGGATGCATGTGTGACAGAGCACATGCGGGATGCATGTGTGACAGAGCACATGCGGGATGCATGTGTGACCTAGTATATGTGGGATGCATGTGTGACCGAGCACATGCGGGATGCATGTGTGACCGAGCACATGCGGGATGCATGCGTGACCGAGCACATGCAGGATGCATGTGTGACAGATCACATGTGGGATGCATGTGTGACAGAACACATGCATGTCACATCTCACATCGCGCATGTAACACGCATAATTGCATGCATAGCATGGTAGCACTTGCACCGCACCCATGCATGTGCAGTATGACACATGCATTGCACCTGCACTGCACTCCACACACACACATGACGCACGCCCATTGCACACCCATTGTGCACTTACGCACGCCCAATGCACACCAATTGTGCACCCATGCACGCGCGATGCACACCCGTGGTACGTGACTTCGCATGCTGTCTCTTACATTTTGCCTCTTGTCCCCCCTCTGGTTCCTTCACCCCCCTTCCCCTCTAGCGTACCACATCCCGCTGTGGGTTTGTGTGCACCATAGCCCAGCATCTTACTCAATCTAGTTCATCCCCTCCCTCCCTCCCTCCCCCCCTCTGATGTGCTCTGCATATGTCCTAACCCGTTGTTTCTGCATCCATGGATATAACAGCAACCTAACCACGTATCCGTTCCGTTCCTTCAGCTGCTTTGGTATCGGTGAGTGCATTGGCGGGTGTTGTTGCGTCGGTGGGGGTGTAGACGAGTGTTTCCTTTGTTTCACATGCAGCAATCACGATCACCTACATATTTTCAAAATGCACCTGACAGTGACGAAGTGTTTGTTGTCAGCCTTTTTATGCCCGCCGCACTAGTTTTGCTCAATACATTGATAGTACTTACTGTGCTGTCATCTGCACAATGCAATGAAGTGACAGTGCACACCACACTAGTCTTCTGGTTGAAAATGCAGCACAACCTTTGCAACCTTCCAGACCACATTCTCCTTATGCTCACGAGTTGTCTGCATGTTCATACCAGAGTTTGATTCACACTACCCCCTCCCCTCACTCACAGACCGGTGTGCAAAAAACATATGTGGGGGCAACGGCACATGCGTTCAGGACAGTGCAGGAGTGCCCACCTGTGTCTACAACGCTGGCTTTCTTCTGCAGCCCGACGGCATGACTTGCGCTGGTATGTATTGCTGTACGCTAAGGTGTGCTGCCGCATACTGCTATATGTCAAAAGGGAGGGTAACATGAGCAATCGATTCGAGTGTGTCCTTGACTCTTTGTGTGAACCAATTATGACATTTTTTTTCTCCATATTTTCTCCCCAAAACCTCGATCGAGGCAAGTCAAGTGAAACTCGTGGAGTAAGAAAAACTATGCTTTCGCTCGATTGACGTCAAGTTTGCCTTTTACTTTCAGTCTTTTCTGTTACGTTCGGTTTCACTCCTATGGCCCCTTACTCTTCCACGCTCTTGTTTCCTTCGCTGTTATTCTTCTACTCTTGTTGTGTCCATACCACTCCCTTCCAATCTCGTCCCGCAGAGGCGTGTGGGTCCAAGATCTGCGATCCCACAACTGATTGTGTGAGGGACGCATCGTGTGTGTGCAAGGCGGGCTATCAGGAGAGTACCAGCAACAAGTGCATTGGTATGTGTTTGTGGCATTAATACCACAAACCCTAAGCCCTAATAAAGGTGTATTCTCTCCTATACCAGACAGGGCTCATCCTGTTTTTTTCTGGTACAATTCAGCTATGGATGCGTAGCGGTAGGCACAGCACTATTTGCACCCCACCCCACCTCACACTTTTCCTGGGCAACCCATCTACCCTCTGCCCTACACCCCTCTGCTTCATCAGCAACACCTTCATCCCCCACACTTACTGTGCCCCCTTATCATTCCATGCTAATCTTCTTGCTCTTGCCCTTACAGGCGCCACCCCCACCGTCTCCTCCACCAGCATCACCTTCTACGATCAGCCCAACTACATCATCACGCCCACCACCTTCACCATGCGCCTTGACTTCAACGCCTGCACCACCCTCCCTGCCTCAACTTTCTCAAGCGTCCGGTCGCTTCTGCGCATAGACAAGGTTCCCGGAGGGCTGGGATGTCAGAAAGTAGGAATGAATGATGACTAGAATGACAGCAGTACAGGGTTTGTATAGCAAAACTTAATTGGACTCCATGAGGAGTGCCCCACTACAGCCTAGAGCATATAAATGCATGGTTCTGACATGGGAGACTGCGTGTCGGTGTATCAGTACAACCAGGAGGGGTGCGCTGGACCGTACACTCTATACGCCACTGCTACGGGTGGAACTCGCATGAGTGCCGTGAGTTACATGTGAGTCACACAATGGAATCTGATGTGAGCCACACACTGTGAGTGTGTTTTGAGTTGACCTAAACACACCAGGATGGGTGCACTGGATTGTACATTCCGTATGCCTCTGTTACAGGTGGAACCGGGATGAGTGCCGTGGGTTACAAGTGAGGCACACACTGCAACTGGGAGCGATTCTTGGGTGAAGGATAAGGGATTTGAGATGGTGCACCATTCATGGATGCCACTTGGCTGTCACTCACTTTACGTGCATCAACATCTTACTATTTTCCCTTCCTGTACCTTTCTCCCACCTATGAGCAGGAACTATAGTGCATATCCTTATCGCTCTTTCATCTGCTTTCATTAGGTTTGCCAGCCGACCTCTATGTACAACATTTGAACCGACAGGGCGGTTTTGCGCGAACCGATCTGATTTGCACCTGCCTCAAAACGGTCAACGTCTCTCACCACCTTTATGAAGGTGCATCGAATGTGTTTTTTGTTTGTTTGTTTTTTCTACATCCGGTTTAAGGAAAAAAAGGCAAATCTGCTGGTATGTTTATTACCATAGTTTACGAATACATTTGTCCAGGAAAATCAGGTGTGCATACAGAAGAAGTATTTGAACAAACAGTGAAGCCGTCAAAATCGCGAACAACGCACGTGTGGAATTCTGAAAAGAGAGGGGGGGAAAAAAAAAAAAGGAGAGAGACACCAACCTGTGTCAAACATATATGCTATAGTCTGTGTAGGCTGTAGTGGGGTAGACAATATGGGGTACAACACTTTAGGTTTTTCCTACTTGTACCCACCTGCTTGCTAATTCAATCATTCCTTCGTTCATATTCTGACATGGTATTCTGAGCAGGTTCCCTCCGTGGGAACGTTTTTTTTTTTTAGGGCCCACCACTGAAACTGTTTAGCCTGCCCGAAGCGCGCTGTCGCGCCTGCCTCTCCTGCGCCGTCGCGCGCCTCTGCCCTGCTGTCGCGCTAGTCGCGACCCTGCCTGCCGCCCGTCGCGGCCCTGCCTGTTGCGCGCCTCTGCCCGTCGCGGCCCTGCTTGCCGTCCGTCGCGGCCCTGCTTGCCGCCCGTCGCGGCCCTAATTTGCCGCCAGTCGCGGCCCTCTCCTGCCGCCCTACGTCGCGGCCCTGCCCTGCCGCCCAAAGTCGCGGCCCCTGACCTAATCGCCGCCACCGTCGCGGCCCCACTGTCGCGCCCCACCCTGCAGCCGCCGTAAGGCCTGCAGCACCGGTCGCGGCCCTGCCTGGCCGCTGACGCACTTGCAGCCGCTGTTGCGGCCTCACAGTCGCGGCCCTGCCTTGCAGCCGCCCCAGTCGCGGCCCTGCTCTACCGCCGCCCAGTCGCGGCCCTGCCCTGCTGCCACCCCAACCGCGGCCCTGACCTAATCGCCAGCTGCGGCCCTGCCGTGCACCCGCCCCTGGTAAGCACCCGCGCCGCCCAGCCGAGCCGCGTCGCTCAGCCGAGCCGCGCCGCCCTGCCGAGCCGCGCCGCCCAGCCGAGCCGCGCCGCCCAGCCGAGCCGCGCCGCCCAGCCGAGCCGAGCCGCCCAGTCTAGCCGCGCCGCCCTACCGAGCCGCGCCGCCCTACTGAGCCGCACTGCCCTGCCCCTGCTGCTTCTGCTGCTACTGCTGCTTCTGCTGCTACTGCTGCTTCTTCAGCTATGGCTAGTCCTACTGTTCTTACCTTTGATGCTGAGGGTCGTGCTGTTGACTTCGAGGTTTGGGTAGAGGACCTACAGCTGTTTCTCCAGTGCGACTCCAAGGACGGAGTCTCCCTGTTCGATCACACGTCCGGTGTCTCTACTGCACCTGCTGCCACTGCTGATAGTACGGTTCGCTCGCAGTGGACTACTCGTGACGCTGTTGTTCGTCTTGCTGTTCGTAGTCACCTGCCGTCTGCTGAGCGCGCGCACTTTGGCCAGTACAAGACTGCAAAGTCTTTGTATGACGCTGTTGTCGCGCGCTACTCCTCCCCTGACACTCCTGCTCTCAGCCGCCTCATGCTGCCGTACCTGTTCCCTGACCTTGCTGCCTTTGCCACAGTCGCTGACCTCATTACTCACCTCCGCACTAGTGACACCCGCTACCGCGCTGCGCTTCCCACTGAGTTCTGTGCCAAGAACCCCTCCCCCCCATGTACATCACCCTCTACTACCTAGTCACCCGTCTCCCTGACTCTCTCTCTTCAGTCAGGGACCACTTTCTCTCCCTTTGCCCCACTGAGCTCACCGTCGACCTGCTTCAGGAGCGCCTTACTGCAGCAGAGAAGAGTATTGTTGCTGTAGGTGCTTCTCGCGGCGACCCCCGCGCCCCTTTCTTTGAGGGGTGCTCCCCCGTCCCCCTTCTCCCCTCTGTTGCTTCTGCTGCTGCTGTCGACCTCGTTGGCACTGAGGAGGTCGGGGCTGCGTCTGCTCCTAGTGGGAGGCGCCGCAACAGCAAGGGCAAGGGGGGCAGGGGTGGTGGAGGGGACGGAGGGGGCGGCGGTGGAGGCGGTGGAGGGGGCAGAGGGGGTGGTGGTGGCGGTGGGGGTGGTGGCGGGAGTGGGGGTGGCAGTGGAGGTGGTGGAGGCAGCGGCAGAGGCGGTGGAGGTGGAGGCGGTGGTGGTGCTGGCCGAGGAGGTACCGCACAGCGTGGAGGCTTTGGCGGTAGCCAGCGCCAGCAGCAGCCGCGTTCCCGTGAGTCCCTTTCGCCCCAGCAGCTTCGTGAGTGGAACGCTGGGCGTGGGAG